TATATCTATCTAAAGAAAGTTTGGATTAAAAAATTTAAGAATTATTTAAATATTCTAATAAAATCATATAATAACTTTAAAAGAGTTATTAAAAACACAAAAAAAAATATATTTTTACAAAATATATCACAAAATTATATACTAACAATTTAAATTCTGTTTTTCCGGATTATCAATTTAAATTTTATTCAAATAATAAAAACTTAACATTAAAAAATAAAATCTTATTTAAATATTTCAATAAATAAACAAATATTATAAATATATAAATAACTATATAACAAAATATTTAGTAATATGTAATAGCTTTAAATAAATAAAATTCAAATAACAAAAAACTTTAAATATTTTACATATTAAATAAATATTTAATATAACCAGATTTTAAATAGTTAAAATAGCGAAATATGTAATAAATTCAAAAAAAATCATCAAAGTAGAAAAATAATTATAACATAGTATTGAAATTAATAATAATTTAATATCTTATAAAATAAAAAATGAAATTACGTATTAATATTAGAAATTATAATTTAATGCATTATTAAATTCAGTAAATAACAACAAATTTTAAATATTTTACATATTATTTAAATATTTAAATAACTAAATATTTAACATAACTAGATTTTAAATAGTTAAAATAACGAAATTATGTAATAAATTAAAAAAAAAAATTCTTAAAAGTAGAAAAATAATTATAGCATAATATTGAAATTAACAAGAATTCAATATCTTACAAAATTAATAATAAAATTATGTAATAATAGTATAAATTATAATTTTATGGATTATTGAATTTATAAATAATTAATATTTTAAAATTTAAATACTTTACATATTATTTTAGTAGTTAAGTAACTAAATATTTTAAATAAAAAATATTTAACATAACTAGATTTTAAATTAGTTAAAATAAAGAATTTATGTAATAAATTAAAGACAATATGAAAAATAGAAATACAATTATAACATAATATTGAAAATAATAATAATTTAATATTTTACAAAATTAATAATTAAATAACTTTAATAATAATTTAATATTTTACAAAATTAATAATTAAATAACTTTAATAATAATTTAATATTTTTACATAATATTTTAAGTAACTAATTTCACTTATATCAATTAATAATTCGAGAAAATAACTTTCACAAAAATTATTATTTATTAATAATTTTAAACTCTTAATATTTATTTATTAGATGATTATATATTCTAATATTAATATTTATTGTTTTTTGTGATAAATGTATTTTCAGTATAATTATGTATGAATTTATTTTTGTTTTGTTATTTATCAAAAAACTTTCAATAACTATTGGAGATTAAATTATTATTATTGAAATTTTTAAATTTTGTTTATTGTACTTATTGTATTTATTGTATTTTTTATATAGATTATTGATTAATATTTTTTATAGATTATACTATTATTTGAGTTTATACTATTTATTGACTAATTTAATATATTTTTAGTACTTATTGTATTTTTTTCATTATTAATATATTTTTCAACAATTGTGTATTTTCGCTATAAATTTTCAACAATGATTGGAGATGAAAATGTTGTTATTTATCAAAGATGATACTATTAATTTATCTGAAATTATGAGTGTTCATGAATTGGTTTGGTTCGGCTGTAGGTTGTTTTGCCAACCAAATTGACCTGATCAGTTGAAATCGATTGACCATTTGTGAAAACAGATCCACTCAAGTTGTATCAGTTTGGGTTGATTTTTTGGTTTGGTCAGTTGGTTCAAAAGATTTAAACTTGAAAGTTAAATTTAAATTTTAAAAGTTATAGCACAATTGTTAAAAAATAAATTTATGATATAAAACATTTTAGACTAAGAAGTATGGGAAATTTCCCACTTTTTTATATTTAAAATATAAAATATTAATATATATCAATGGTCAAGTCATCCGATTTTGTCCGATTTAAGAATGGACAAAGCAAAACTGATCCAATATGGTTAGGTCAAGTTGATCGGGTTGGTCGGTTTCATCAATTTAATGAATAAACCTAATTGAAATTAATTATTGTTATTTTTGTATTATAAAAAAATTATTAGAAGTAGTATATAAAATATGAATAATTATTAATTATTTATAAATTTGAAAATATAAAATAGTTGTATACTCTTCTGTAGGGGTATCAATTGGACTGGATTTGGTTCAATCCGATCCAATCCAATGTGAGTCCATTACGAATGGACCTGGTCTAATCCAGTCCAATGAATATTTTGGACCATTTTGGACTAGTCCAGAGACTGTCCAATTTGTTCAAATTCCTATTAATTTAGATTGGTTTTAGCTCAAACATGGTCCATTGACACCTATGTTCTTATTTTCTATCAATGGACTAGATATTGGCTCAATCCAATATAAATTCATTATGGACGGACCAAGTCCAATCCATTATATCATATTGGTCTGTCCAGTCCGTCCAAATTCAATATGTCTTATTGGTCCGTCCAATCCATCCAAATGGATTTTGATTTGGACGGATCCAACCCAAAACCGGTCCATTGATACTCCTACTCTTATGTGTTTCTATTAGGGTCATTTAGTAGAACACACCTTAGAGTTTTACATATTTACTTAAACCTATCTTATAGTTTTCATTTTAATAAAATATCTCATATATTTTACAACTTATTTACTTAATCAACATTTCATTAAGGAGTGTTTGTTTTGCCATTAGAGTTATGATTGTTTATTCCAAAAATACCTTTATTACTTTTTTGTACAGAAAACAAATTTGACCAAATATAGCCAATAATGATTGCCTGTGTATTATTAAGAGCAAAAATGATATTTTTTATTTTTATTTTCTTTTGATAAAATTTATTTAAATAAACATTAAGGACAATACTATCATTTTGCAGTATCTAATGGAAGAATTGATTAAATCTATAGTAAATTATAAGTAGTATTTTAGTAAAATAGATAAATTTTAGTAAATCTATAAGTGTTTTAGTAAGTGACCTTTTCTATGTATTAAACAATGATAAGACTAATGGTTGAAATGAATGATTTATTGCTTTGTCCATATTGTAAATTAACAGCCGGGCCCGCACAGACGGTGTGTGATGGCTTTTGCCGGGCCAACGACAAAGCGGTATAATGGTTGCGTTCAAACAAAGGCTGCTGAGGCCAGAGGCTGCTGAGGCCAGAGGCTGCTGAGGCCAGAGAGTGAACTCCACTGACCTGACCAATAGAAGGTCGAATAGTCTATATTGCTACCATTTCCTCACGCGGCAGCACTAAGTAAATTGTCATGCTTTGACCATTCAATTCGAATTCATTTTGTCGTGTGCTGGAATGCTTTTGAGCTTTGATTATTGCAGTACAATTTTGTCCCTTTTACTATTTAGAGGTGCAATTGACCTTGCTGACAAGGACCGACGTTGGCGACCATGCAGGTTCATCCCCTCGAGAAACGACTAAATCCGTAAGGATGGGCTCAATGAAACAAGATACTTCTGATAACTTACCTTAGGAATAGGCCCGGGCCTACTAAGAAAAGAAAAAAGGATCCCTTTTTATTAAGGGGATGTTTGGGACCGGTGCATTTCATGATCATTTCGTTTTTGCTGATGTGATGTATTACGTGTGTTATATTATATCAGCAAATAAATGGAATCGGGAAAAAAACAATATTTGGTAGTTTTGTATTTTAAAATAACGTTTTAGTAATAATTAATTTTGTGATTTAGGACAGGAGGTTTGTTGAAACACCAAATTTTTGGTTTCTGAATCGCCTAAATAATCCTCATCACCCCGACGACATGGTATATTAATGAAATTTGAATAAATTGATTACTTTTTGAGATGTCATACAATTATGTAAATCACTTTGATTAATCAACTTGCATTCCTTTTTTTTTTGTATTTCTCAAAAAAATATGAAACTAATCACTTATAAATGAGAGCCCACTTGTGAAACAGAAGGGTCCTGAAATGCACCGATCCCAAGCATCCCCTAATTAGTCTCAATTCTATCGTTCTGATAATTATATATGTGAAAGCCCGTATAGATTACAAGGATCATGGTTTTTAAAAATGAACCAGTGACCGAATCGTTCAGGGGTTCGGTTATTGGTTCGAATGGTTCGATCGTTCGATTCAAATGGTTGGTCCATTTTGATAAAAAAATAAAAAAAATTAAAAAATTGGAAAACGGTCAAAACCATTCGAACGGTTCGAACGATTAACTGGCCAGTTCAGCGGTTTGCTGACCAAAATCAACGATTTTGATAAAATAAATGGTTTTAGAAGAAAACGGAACCGATCAGATGACCAATTCCCGATTTTTCCGGTCCGGTCCGGTTTTGAAAACAGTGACAAGGATAAGGTACTGTAGTGTGTAAACAGTAAAAGTTAATATTGCGCTTGGGTGGGGTCACAATACCCAAGGCCTCCACCCTAATGTTAGCCAAGCTTTTGTTTTGGGTTGGGTTCAGGCTAACTTGGGCCAATTGCGTTCTCAAACAGTGGCCACATGGCAAACATAAAAGGAATTTCTTCTACAAATAAATTTTTACAGAAAAGGTCAAGGTGCGTTATATCTGTCCATGGTCATTGTACAAATGGGCTGATCTTCTATCAGATGGATGGCCGGATCTGTAATTTCCATGTGAGCGAAGAAACAGCTTTTATCGTGAAGAAGTCAAAAAATGCAAGCAATTGCTAGTAGCTCTATAGTCTATAAAGCTCAGAAGTATCTTGTGGTTACGTGTTCATTTCTAGTTCACGTATGCCCTGTATCCACATTAATATAAACCAAATCGTTAAATGGTGCATATATTTTATTATTAATTTAAATTTAAAAAAAGAGGCAGCATAAAATAAAAGTGCTAATTAAATTTAACATTTTTACTCGACCAATCCAATTTCATCCGGATCGTCGAACGAACTGATTTCAGCGCCCTACAGACGATGGAATTGAATGAGTTGCAGTTGAAACATCACTCCATCGGTTAGGCTAATTTGGTTCAATAATACGGAAGTCATTGCATTAACGTCATCTGCCGCTTGAAGTTGAACCTCCGTGCTGTTTTGTCAACATACATGACCAGGTCTTCGTTCAGGTTGAGCCACCCAACTTTTTCAACCATGAAAAGGAGAGCTGATCAGCTCAAAACCCTGCTTCTCGACGCCTCCCATTTTATTATATATCCTTCTCCAACAATACCCTTCTCTCATAGCAGTTTTACGTGTTCATGTTTATCCTCTCTTACCCTCGATCGCCCACCTGTGAGAGTAGCAGAGCAGAAAGTCGATGAAGTTAGCCTATTGAATAAGTGTCTTCAATTTCTTTTCTTTTGCATTCCATCCATCCATCCGTCAAATAGTTCATAGAAACATTGGTTCTTTCGCAGCAGAAACAGGAAAAAGATGAAGTTCGGGAAGGAGTTTGCCTCCCAAATGGTCCCAGAGTGGCAGGAGGCCTACATGGACTACGATTATCTCAAGACTTTACTAAAAGATATTCAACGTTTCAAGGAAAGAACTAGGCCTCCGGCAAGCGCCCGGCCTGGATTAAACCGTATGTCGACAATGTACAGAGCCTTCAGCGGCCTAACGCAAAGGTACAACAACCTCAAGAGCCCCATCCACAGGGACGTTGAAGATCAAGTGATACTTGTGAAATCGGTTCAGGAGGGATCAGACGGCTATTATAAGTCTAATTTTCTCATGTCCACCGATGAAGGTGGAGAGTACGAGCTCGTCTACTTCAAAAGGCTTGACGACGAACTGAACAAGGTAAACAAGTTTTACAAGTCCAGAGTGGAGGAGGTGATGAAGGAGGCGGACATGCTGAACAAACAGATGGATGCACTGATAGGATTCCGGATTAAGGTGGAAAATCCCCCGGCGGGGATGCTCGATGGGTCAGCCGAGATGGCTCGTCTTGCTTCTGATATTGCTACCTCTGCGGCGGCGGTGACGGCCTCCACCCCATCTGGCGCTAGAGCCAGCAGTAAGTGCCTCCCTGTTTCAATTCCCATTGGTCGGTCTAACTAGATGACCCCAAATCTGACCCGTTTATCAATTGCTAAAAGTTTTTTAAGATTAACTTTGTCATCTGATGTTCAATCTGCAGCAAAGCACATGGGTGCAATACAAGAAGTCGAGCTGAGCAACAGAGAGGGTTCAGACGATTCCGGTGGGTACAATGAAATCAGAACCATCAATAATACTGTACATGAAGTGAAACCCAACAAAAAGAAAGCCAGTAGACCAGCTCCATTAGATGTTCTTAACCGTGTAAACATAAACAACACACTCGAGACCCCGCGCTCCACCATAAAAGGCTTCCTCAAGGTTTCCAAAAACACAGATTTGAGTTTCAGTAAAGAGAATCTGAAGAAAATTGAACAACAACTGAAGCGAGCGTTTGCCGAATTCTATCAGAAGCTTCGGCTTCTAAAAAGCTACAGGTAGCGAATAATAGATGGATATATGATATATAATTCCATTTAAGTGTTTTCCTCTTACCTTTTAACCATTTAAGTGATGATCATCATTTTTAATGAATGAACCAGCTTTATGAATCTCTTGGCATTCTCGAAGATAATGAAGAAATATGACAAGGTCACATTCCCACTCTACTGCCAAAATTTTATTGCTTTCTGTTAACTTCTGGTTAAGAACCTCTGTTTCACTCCCATTTCCCAATTGTTGCAGATTACTTCACGTGGTGCATCAAAAGCTTACCTGAACATGGTGGACACGTCCTATTTCGGCAGCTCCGATGAGGTGAGGCTTAAGTATAATGCAATCTATCTGAGTATTAGAATGGTTTCTGCACTTGCATTTGTTACCTAATGATATACTTTTCAAGCAGCTTCATGTTTTAAGAACAGGGCCTTGTTGACGTTTACATTGTCTGATTACCTAATTTTCCATCAAACTGGACTTAATCTTGCTTTTTCTTTGGCCCTGTAGGTTACTAGGGTCATGGAGAGGGTTGAGGCCACATTCATCAAGCACTTCTCCAACTCAAACCGTACAAAAGGAATACGCTTCTTAAGACCAAAAGCAAAGAAAGAAAGGCATAGAGTTACATTTTCCATGGGTAAGATTTGTTGCCTTGTACCAATTAGGATCCAAATACAGTTAAAACCTACAATTGAGAGAGAGAGAGAGAGAGAGGAAGAATTTATTTGCCATCCTGATCTTTGGTTATTTCTGAATTCTCTGTTTCTGGTTATTTCTTAGGTTTTTTTGCTGGTTGCACAGCAGCTCTACTGGTGGCTCTTATTTTAATTATCCGTGCTCGAAAGATTCTAGACAAGGATGGGAGTACACAGTACATGGAAAATTTGTTTCCACTTTACAGGTAAGTCAGAAATACTTCAAAATGTTCAGTAACTCATTTTGGGGAGTTTCCAGTGTCATGGTGCAGAAATATTGCAGGCAGTAATTCTGCACCACGCTTGGTTCACGAGATGATCTACTGTACTGATCATTGATTCGGGCACATCCCTTTTTTTCACAAAGGGGCAAGCTTCTCATCTCATCTCATCTCAATTTTTTTCCACCTTTCTTGCAGCTTGTTTGGATTCATTGTCCTGCACATGATAATGTATGCTGTCAATATCTACTTCTGGAGACGCTACCGTGTGAATTATCCATTTATATTTGGATTCAAGCCAGGAACAGAGTTGGGCTTCCGTGAAGTTTCCCTAGTCAGCACGGTTCTTGGGGCACTAGCACTCGGCAGTGTTCTCTCAAACCTGGACATGGAGATGGATCCAAAAACTAAAGACTACAAGGCTTTCACTGAACTGCTCCCTCTGGGATTACTCACTGTACGATTTCTTAGACCCACCCAGAATTTTCTCTGCATCTCTAACTCATAAAAAGCATATGTATATATATATATATATTAACTAGTGAATCTTTCTGTGTGTAGCTCATAATTGTGATCTTATTTTGCCCCTTCAACATCATATATCGCTCAAGTCGCTACTTCCTCCTACAATGTGCATTCCATTGTCTTTGTGCTCCTCTGTACAAGGTACATGATCAAGAGAGAGTTAATTTGGACACAGAATCATATGGGAATTGTTCCGTGATGAATCCATTGAATATTAATTTAACCTCCTTTAATTCTTCTACAGGTTAGCCTCCCGGATTTTTTCTTGGCAGATCAGCTAACCAGCCAGGTCCAAGCCATTAGAAGCCTGGAGTTCTATATCTGCTACTATGGTTGGGGAGACTACAAACACAGAATCAACACTTGTAAAACAAGTGGAGTGTACAACACTTTCTATTTCATTATAGCAGTGATACCTTATTGGTCCCGCTTCCTTCAAGTAGGTTCAGACTCTCCTTTCCATACAGTACTCAAGCTCTGTAGTCCATCTTAATATGTTTGAGCTCAGCATAGTTTCTTGTGTGCTGTAGTGTCTTCGACGTTTGTACGAAGAAAGGGACCCAATGCAGGGATACAACGGGCTGAAATACTTCTCAACAATCGTGGCCGTTGTTATGAGGACAGCTTACGGTCTAGACAAGGGAAAGGGTTGGAGGGTGATGGCCGGGATCACGTCGGCCATTGCAGCAATCACTAGCACATACTGGGACCTTGTTGTCGATTGGGGGCTTCTACAGCGCCAATCTAAGAATCGTTGGTTGAGAGACAAGCTCCTGATCAAACAAAAAAGCGTATACTTCGTAGCCATGGTGAGTAAGAAAGAAGTTTGGTGGTGAGAATTAATTAGTTTGTTTCACTGTTATTTTTCCAAGAACCCAATTAATCTTAAGAAGTTTCATTGCAGATACTGAATATCTTGCTGAGATTTGCATGGTTGCAAACGGTGTTGGACTTTAAGGTGTCATTCCTACACAGAGAAGCTTTGATTGCAATAGTCGCAAGCCTGGAGATCATTCGTCGTGGCATTTGGAATTTCTTCAGGTACCATGAAGGCTGTCTTGTTGTTCAATTGTCTAAATGCTCCTGTTTTATTTTTATTTTTTTGGAAGTGTTGAAGTAGTTAGTAGTTTGTTTTAAATTGCTGATGAGAATCCGACTATTGGTTGATCAGGTTGGAGAATGAACATTTGAATAATGTGGGAAAATACCGTGCATTCAAGTCAGTACCTCTCCCTTTCAACTACGATGAAAATGATGATGATGACGAGGAAGAGAAAGACGAGTAAGCATGCATTTGCATGAATGAGAATGGCAGAATAAGGAAACGATATGTACTTACTTCACACTACAACAATTTCTATCTGCCAAATTTTTGTAAAAATTATCAAATACAACTAATATATTGAATTGCAGCGAGTTCAAATGCATTGTTTCTCAATTGCAGCAAAAAAAACAAAAAGGTTTTTGAATGGATGTAGGTACTGGCTGCTCTTAATCTATTGCAGCAGTTGGTTTGTTTCAGCAGAGACGTGGATTCGATTTCTGCAATCAATGACTTTGGGGAGGGTGTTATAATAAAGGTGTTAAACAGGTCAAGCCCCATGACACAATCACACAACCCCTGGGGCCGGGCTGTGCTGAGGATTTTTGGCCCATGGGTTGTGTTAGCCTGCAGCGTGTGTAGCTCGTGCTGGCACAATCCACAGCCCAACCCAACATATCATTTAATCATTTTATTATAACATTTATTGTATGAATTGATTATTTATATAAAATAATTTTTTAAGATGAATTTTTTTTTCAACTTTTTATTGCAATAATTGAATATGCCATTTTTCCTTCAAATTTTCATTATTTTTAGAATTTTTAGAATTTTTGATTTTTTGTAATGAAACTAAAAGAAAGAAAGAAAATGAAATAATACAGACCAGCCAGCCTAAGGCCTATGGGCCACGGGCCCAGGCTTGTGCTGGGCTCCACCCCCAACCTGTGTGGACCATGCCGGCATGGCCTGCTATAGTGTGAGCGGCATAAAAATGTGGGTAATGCTGGCTCAGGAAGGTTCGCATTATATCACTAGTTATTAGTGTAGTGCTACACTATTCAAACAGCCCCTGTGGAGGATTCGGGTGTTTCACTAAGACTGTGTTTGGTTTGAAAGAAAAGGAAAGTTTAAGAAACCTATAGGAACCTTGTATGGGTTTTCCTAATTTTTTCTTTCTTTTCCTTCAAACCAAACAGAGCCTAAAAGGAAAATCTATGATGCAGGAAAGACATGAAATCGGAAGAGTTTTGACCAATCAAAACCCACCCATGAATTTTGATAAATAACACCTAATTGGCCATCACATTTATGATTCTAGTTAACTGGTTAGATATTTTTCAGATATCATATCTTTTCCATATCGTAATTGAACCCTTCACCAAAATACCAAATAAAAAAAAAAAGTATTGCAGGATGGATTCTTCTTCTCAAAAGAACTGTTAGTAATGTTATTTCATTATTGATTAAAAAAGAAAAAAAAGGTTATGCCATTATTGAATGAAGATGATCGGGTCATTCAACGAATGTACTTTGGTCATCGTAAGCAGAATTGAATATCTTGGTTATGTTTGGTTCCATGGGCGTTAATTGGGAAAAGATCGTCACATCAGCACCATATAGGTATTGGCATTTATTGTATATGAAACCATTATTTGGTTTCACCGTTCATCAAATAAACAATAAAGAACGAAAACATTTTGATTTATATGTGATGGTGGGCAATCCGGCTGGTCCTAGCTGTCAACGACCTTGCCTCTGAACGGAACTACAGGGAACCTGAAACGGAGAAGATGAGGAAGCTCCAGGGGGAACCCGGTATGAATGCTCCGAAGTTCAAGTTAGAATTCTTCAAAGGAAAGATAAAACCAGATGACGCAAAGTTTGCATACCTTGTTCTTGGGGGGTAGGGAGCCTTTTATAACCACCTCGCACACTCACTTCTAAGCTTCTGTCAGATCGGGTATGATTATTTCTGAACTCTTGCCAGTTCGGATGTCATCTCCTCTGGCTGGGCAGAACCACCACTGCTCCCTTTGTCGGAGCCGTCTCTGCGGCTGGTGACGACGGTGGTAGGTGGCGGTGGCAGGTGGCCGTTTGAAGTGCGGCTGTCAAGCATTAGATCCCAAGTCAGTCAAGTGCGTCGCCCTTGGATACGGACATCCTCGGTGTCAGGTATGGTGCGTTTATTCAGTCTAGCGTCCTGGAGG